CTCGTGTGATCGATAAAAATACCTCTGTTGCTATATTTTTCTGTTCGATGCCTTTGTTACATTGATATTGAGATCGTTACGGGTAAAATATTTTTCTAGATTCATGGCCAAACTTCGACCATTTTGGAAATCATGGATACGATTTTTTAATTGAAATAAAATAAAAGAACGAAAAATGCATTTTTTTCTTGTCTTATATATGATTTGTTACTGTTGGTGGAATATTGTCATTCAAAAAAGATTTTTTTTTAATAGAACATTAATACGTATATATTATATTTTTTTTTTATATTTTAACAGTAATAACAAGAATAAAAGATAAACATATTAACAGTTTGTAGAGTAAGGTTAAATTATTTCCTTTCGTGGATTTCCATTCATTCGGATAGATTCATTGGTTTTTGTTTTGTTTTTTTTTATTTTCTAATAATGACCATGACCATGACCACCATAAGTTCCACCTTCATGATTATTTCCACCAGTGTTGTGAACGTGAGCGAAAAATCCTCCGTGTGGATCAGAATGATATTTGACTATTCTCGTGTTACCACCTGGTTCTTTGATCGTGTATTCACCAGCCACATTTTTTCCTATTAAATTAATGCACTTTTAATATAATTTGTCATTGAAATAAAAAAAGAAAATAATTATTTCAAAAAAATGATTACCATCTCTGTGTTCCTTCTGTCCATGATAGTCTCCAGTATGATGATCTTCAACTCCATAAGAAAATTCATATTTAGGATGTGCAACATAATCGATATGATGACCGTGTTTCCCATGGTAAGTAATTTCATGACCTGGTCCTTCGACGGGTCCGTAAAAATGTGCGAAACTATGTGCATGCCCAGGAAAAGCTTCACTGATCTCAATATAGGCAAGCATACTAAGAACTATTAAGAACTATGAAGAAAAATTGTTAAGTTATTTATCAAGTTATCAAAAATTTAGTGAAGTTACTATTAATAAAGCAGTTTCTTTTTCATTATAATTATTGTTTTTTTGAAAAATTCACTAGAATTTTCATGTGTCATTTTCGAAACTACATAATTGTACATGAAAAGTTGTAAGAAACAAAACCACAATGTATGTCACACATAATTAACAAATGAATTTATTACGATAATACTTCTTTTTTGTGAAACATTTGTAAAAAAAAAAAGTACATTTAAACAAAATTATAAATAAAATCATTAAATATTTTAGGCCAAGGTACGAACTGTTAATGGAAAATATTGATTTTAAAAGAAGGAAATATTATTTATTATAGTAATATTTTCATTCATTGACAATTCTTCTCTTATCTCAATAATAATCCTAACATAAAATTGTAACATAAAATAATAAAATTCATTTTAACTTTGAAGGTTTCTAAACTTTGAATTACAGTTTAAATTTTAAGGTACAATTTAAGTGACAAATGAACTTGATTATAATGAATAATTAAATAAAACAAAATAATTAATATGATTTTAATACAAACCTTAAAAGCCATGTTGATTATTAATATTTAGTAGGATTCTTAAGCGTTGAGTGATACGTTCTTCGACAATGCTGTGAGTTTATATACCGTGTCCTGTCACCAAAGAATTTCATCATTACGTCGTTATTTAACTATCGGTAGGACGATTTATACACAATTGTGATTATTTCAGTTATGGGGGAGGGGAAACATTGAAATGAGACTAAAGGAAAGAAAGGAAAAGAACAAAAATACGAAATCGTTGTCCAGTCAACTTTCCTATGCATAAACTGTCGCATTCCATCAATGGACGAACGTAATCAACTTTGCGCATATGCCGGGCCAAATGGAATTTCAATTTGTGACTTTCGATCGATTCTTTCTTTTACTCATTCACTCACATTCCCTTTTTTCTATCTTTCTCACTCTCTCTCACTTTTATATACACTAATCGTAAATTTTTTATTCTTCTGTCAGACTCCAAATAAAAACTAACGTGAATATTGAACCGTATAATGAAACTTTAGATAGAAGGATCATGATCAAATAGGTTAAGTTATTCACAAATTTAATGATTCTATTAAAAATTATTAAAATAAAAGAGAAAACAAAATAATTAAATTTAAAATATTTATATAACAAAATTTAAACAAATGAATTTACATTAAAGTGTACATGTAATTGTACATATAAAATACAAATATATATCATCTTCGTTACCATTCTAGAGAAAATGAATTAGGATGTATTGCAACAGTAATTTTCAAGATTTTTTATTACATTTCTCAATCTCATAATTTTTATTATTCTAACTAAAAAAGTTTCATCCAAACATTGGTATTTAAATATTGAAAATTTCAAAATAGTAGTTTCTATCTTCATTTAAAAATTTTGAAATTTTCTTCAAGAGAAAGAACAACATTTTTGTTGAGAATCCCTGCTCTATGGTGTACCTTCCTACATTTTTAATCATTTTCATCGAATATTTAACGACAGCAGCAGCAGGAGTAGCAATATCAACAGTGTCTAACTCTACTTCTCAAAGTAAAACTTTTATTTTATTAATAGTCATACTCTTCCCTCGCGTCATACTCATTTGATTAGTTCGTTGAACATCGCCTATACCACGAGAATATTCCATTTTAATAATGCAACGGTTTCTAACTTCTATTAAGATCGGCTAAAGATTATATGCATGCAAGTAAAGTAAAGCACTCGAAGAAAGTTTGGTTTAAGTGTAACTACTTAATCGATGCAAGTCGGATCAATCTCACCTATAATTGATTTCAATCGTTAAAGTTTACCCCTTCAAATGAACTTACTTCTTCTCACACATTGGAACATTGTATAAGCAAATATTTTAACAGAATAAAGAAACTTTAGATATTATATTTGGTTTAGGTAGATAATTATTTTTTTCATACTTTTTCCCATAGATTTCTTTAAAATCTATAAAATAACTCTGATAATATTTACTTTTGCATTAAAACAAAAGTTTTAACCATATTATACGATTAGTAATTTTGAATAAACACGTTTAATAGCTTTAAAAACAATTTTCCGCGAAACAGAGATAAGTAATAAGAAGAAGTGTAAATTTTCTGATTACTTAAGTGCACTTTCGTTAAGTACATTTTATCGAGATCAAAGTTTAGTATATCATTAGTTCAAAATAATTTCTAATGCAGATAGAACTATAAGTCATCATAGACTTTGATAAATTCGAAGGATTACGTTGATTGAAAAAATGACATTTTTCAAATTTTCTCTGGATTAACTAATTTTCGAAGTATATTCATATTGTTTTATTTTCATCTATCTGTTTGTTTTGCTTGTTACGTTATCGATTGTCGGAGCTTGAGTAGGTGTTACATACCTCAACTTCCATTCGTAGAATCATCGAAATCGATAGATAGTAAGGTTGACTGATCTCGGATTAGAATTGTTTTTTATTAAACAAGAAAAAGAAAAAAAATGATTAACTAGAAAAATTCTAGGAATGATAAGTTATAATAGAAGAGAGTAGGAAAGAAGACGTGCAAGTTTCTCAAGCAGAGACAATTTGATCATGCTCGGCGATGCGTGAAAAATGTTACGAACACCGTAGCACGTAGTGACTCTCGTATCATCGACGTACGACGGGTTACCATCTACTATTTTTGCCCTTTATTCTTTATTTAATTTTATTTTATTTTTCAAAATAAAACTTTTCAATTTTTGATCTTTTGTGATCCAGAGTTATAGGATTTTCTATTTTGTTCCTATATTTTTCTATTTCCGAGATCCTTCACATCACTGGTTGGTACTAATTTTTTTTCTTTTTTTTTCTTTATTTCCGGATTATCCTAGACTAAAAAGAGAGAGAGAGAGAGAAAAGGAGAATTAACTCGATTTCTGTCTTAAATGTAAGATTACTTTTGCAAAGGAAAAAAGTTAAAAGCTTTGTATATCTATATTTTTACAAAGTTTTATTAGAAAATAATGTTCTTGATCGTAAAATCAGAAGTTTGTATAGTGTCCTGGTTCAATTATACATAAGTTATAGTTTTATTAAAGAAGGGAATTTTAGTTAAGAAGTTTCTTACGAATCACTGTTAAGTTAACTATTTTGTTCTTATTGTTTATCAAAAGGTAGTTTTAACATCAGATCAATGACCCATGAATGACGGAGATTGAATGTTAGGTGAGATTTTTTTCGTGGGGTTCGATTTTGTCATCGTTGCGATAGTTTCAGTAGAAAGGATTTGTCGTTTTTAGGTAAGTAATGAACGTGACAAGATTCTTCCTTAGTCGACTAAAAAAGATTTTGTAAGAAATTGTAGAAATGGTGATCGGCTAAACCATCTTCTCTCGTTCTATGACAGTGGTGGTATGAGACAATCGGACAATTTGTCCCATTTTGTCAGCAAAATATCGGTCCACGAAAAGACGAGAACTCTTACTTCATTGGAATTCGGTCTGGTATTCCGTGCACACAGTTCTTGGATGCAACGTGAGTAGCCAACAGATCATGACAATTCTTACTGAGAAAGGAAAGACGAATGATCTCAGGATTCGTCTACGAGGTAAATAAATCGTACAAAGAAATCTTGAAAATTTGATAAGGGGGTTTAGATAGAGGGATTATTTTTACTATATTATAATAAAAAAAACAAATATTCTTACAATTAAAAGTTTAAGTATACCTATAAGGTTTAGGTTTCATTTAATAAACCAGTTAATACTCCTTTACTGATACACGTATTTTATTTAATTTAGCAGTCAACAAAATTTAGCATTTTAAAGGCAACCACAGTAATGTTCTTGATATTAAATTTCAATATTCTGACTTTTAGCTTTATTTTTGTTCAAAAATATCAGATTCTTTTAAAACTCGGTGGTCTTTGAGTTAATTATTTATTTCAGATGATATTAGATATAAGTAATACGTTAAAATATTAGCAATTTTAATTGACTTAAATATAAAATTTAGTCTTTAGTACATTAATGTAAAAATAAACATTTAAAATCAACGAAGATAATTTATTGAGATATTTAATATACATGGAAACAATTAACGATTGAAATGATTTTTAAACATTATCCATGCTTGTGTCCACCAGAATGATCGTTTCCACCAATATTATGAACTTCAGCAAAGAATCCACTATGTGGATCAGCATGATACTTAACAACCCTTACGTTACCACCTGGTTCATGAAGCTGGTACTCTCCTTCAACTTTTTTTCCTGTTATTAAAAATCATATTTTTATATTAAATGGCAAAAAAAAAACAAAGAAATTGGTTAAGATATGATTGAATTTAATTGCACTTACCGTCTCGATGCTCGCTTTGATCGTGATGATCTTTCGTATGATGATCTATAACTCCGTAAGAGAATTTGTATTTAGGATGAGCACGATAATCGTGGTAATGGTCACCATGTTTGTCTTTCCATGTTATTTCTTCGTGATGACCTACTACTGGTCCGGAAAAGTGATGATAGGAATGGGCATGTCCATGGGAATCACCATGATCTGCTTCTTTACCTCCATCATCTATTAAACATTATATTTAAAGATTAAAAATTTTCTATTAATAATTTAATGAATTTATTATACCTATCCCGGTCTAATTAACAATGACTGGGTTTAAACTGTGTTTGTATATGTTCCTTTACAAGATGAACTAGTAAACAAGCGGTTGTAATGCTAAAGATTTTGAATTTATTATACCTTCGTGAACTTTTGGAGTAGCCATGACTACTGCGAATAAAAAGACCATGCATAGTATCGACATCTGAAAAAAAATAAAAAAATATTAATATAAAAAAAGAATAGAAGTAGGGATTCCTTGAATTAAAAAATAACAATGAAAAAATAAAATGTTTTACAAGCCAGACCGCTAAAATCGAAAAATTAATGATCGTAGAATTTAATTTGGAAATTTTATTATGATATTAATATTATATGTAATAATAAGGTGCTACAAAGAAAAAAATAGTGTTAAAACAGTAAAGAAGAAAAAGAAGAAAAAGACAAAAAATAAAATACAATACAAAGGATACTCGAAGTTGATAAAAGTTATGAACGTTGCTTGTTTTAAATATAACCGAAAGAAAAAAAAATAGAAAATATAAATTCATAGTAATAGCGTAAGGATCAACCACCAGTGTAAGAAAAAAATTACACCAGTATGGAATTAATATTCATCAGGCAAATCTTGTAACAATAAAAATAGCAGCAGCTACAGCAGCAGTAGCAGTAGCAGCGTGGTAATATGTAATAGAAAATTGCAAAGGATCTGGCAACGGCGGCTATAGAAATTGTGGCACCGACGATGTCGTCGTCGTCATAGCCGTCGTCGTCGTCGTCGTCGTCGTCGTCGTCGTCGTCGTCGCCATTATTCTTTCGCACGAATACGCGACCACCGCGGAACGAAGTTGCAGAGACGCTTTTACCGAGCACATAAAGACCTCTGAAACACGCTGTGCTCGTACTTTACGGTCACGACTCTGCGTAATACTTTGTTCACCGTTGGTGTTAGCGATTCCTGTTCCCTATGGAATAGCGGAAAGGGAGTAACGGGGGGAGAGAAGAGATCAGAGGAAAAAAGATAGAAAGTAAGTAAAAGAGAATAAAGAGGAAAAGAAGAAGTAGAAGTAGAAAGAAGAAGAGTCTACTAGGAAAAACGAAGATAGAAAAATTCGTGAAACGAATGAACGAAATAGGAAGGAAATTGTAAGAAGGACACTGCGAACCAACGTTCTTTTCATCGATCAGAAGAAAACTCCAAATCGAGATCGAGGTTCGTGACATTAAACCCGACCTCATCTAACCAATTTTCTTCTTTCTACTATTTCTTCTTTTTCTTCTTCTTCTTCTTCTTCTTCTTCTTCTTCTCCTACGTTCTAGAATAGAAAATTCTAACCCTCTTTTAGGATTCTTCTCTTATTCTACAAACTCTTTGTTCTTTCCACGACCGCTTGTAGAATATTAATTCGAATTCGCGTCGTTATTCGAGAAAGTAGATATAAGAGAATTTATTTAAAGTACTTTTCATTCTGTATTCTTACAATTTCTAGTAGTTTTTAATTAAAATCAATGAGTTCAATTAAATTATCCTTGATTTGAGATATTAGAAGATTTTATTTATCAGTTATAAGTATTTTCTTTTTTGTTGTTTAATCTAAATAATTATAAATCAATATGTAATCGTATTTTGTGATGTGATATTTTTAGAATTATCGACTACAAATAATCGATTACAAATAAGATTACTTATTTACAAATGTATAACCTTTTTACAGTAATGAATTAACTTAACAGCATGTATAAAAAAATGATTTGACAAATCTTTGGTTGTTTAAAATATATAAAGTATCAGGAATTATTTATTTGAATTAATAATATAATATAAATAAAGAAAAAATCTTATAATTTTTCTTTTTTTTTAATTTAGTAAAATAACGAAATCGATTTATCGTACCTTCAGTTCAGCAAAGTCCATAGTACCTCCCCTAACGAAAATCAACGATAAACTGTTTCCACAGGTCGAGTAACGTGTTCGTTTTATAGCAACTCGAAATGACGGTTTCAACTATAAACCTTCTAATTCGTTTGTTATACCTAGCGATCAGTTTCGGTGGTGAACACAAGTAAGAAGAGACGGGCCTGGGCTTCGTACTAGTCAATCGAATGATACTAATTCCACTAAAAGCACCGTTACGATCTAAATTTTCGTCATCACCAGACACGAGCTGGTAGCGCGTGGCGGCTCCTTTATGAAGAGAATTTCAAACTTTTTTTTTATTTACCTTTTTTTTATACTTTTATTTGATACGCTCGATAGAATACTTAAATAGAAGACTAACTACTGGTAAGTTTATTACGTCGATTTTAATCAGCGAATCGAACCGATACGTAAGTTGATCTCGTAAGAAAAATAATACGGATTATGAAAAACCACAAATTTGCATTAACATAAATTGCAGTGTTATAAAAACTTAATAATAATTCGGTTTTTTACGTTTTTAACAATATTTTATTTTCCTTTCCCTACATTTATATATATATATATATATATATATATATATATATACATGTATATACATATATATATTGTCAAAGAAAATATTCTTTTTTTCTTTTCTTTTTTTACCAATATATTTTTATTTTAATTTTTAAAAAATCCTAAAATTTGTTATTTAAGAAATTTAGATAAGTTATAATATTAAAAATATTTAATTTAATTGTGTCTACATGTTAAAGTAAAAAATTAATCCCAAAATCTGATATATATACATTATAGTTTAGCTAACTGATTATACATATAGCTTACCGTACGATTTGAATGTATGTGTTCCTGATTGGTGAAATTATTCATATCTAGAGGGGACTATTTCCTATTATGTATATTGAAATGTATCGGAGAAAATTCGATGATAAATGTTATTCATAATATTAACGATGTGGAAATTCGGATTTGTCACAAATAACGTCAGTATTTGCTTTTGTTACTGATAGCTTTTAAATTATTTTTATTTTATCTCCTCCCCACTCCTTCGACTCCAGATCGTATTAATCGAAATGAATAATATTATTCAAACGAAATATTGCCTCATAAGAATATTTTAATCTATTATTAATGCTTTAATTTTTTTTTTTTTAAATATTCTACATTTAGTATAATTAATACATTCAGCTAATTAATAAATGTTAACATTAAAATTTATAGTAAAAATATTTGTTTCAAATAGAACAAGCTTATTCATTTCTATTGTAATTTTCTATTTAATGCGAGCAATAATAGATTATCTATAAATTTTTATAATAATATTGTTTTAATTATTAATAATTTGAAGAAAATTATTTAAACAAATGGTCAAATTTTTTAAAAATATATTTATATTGATGAATAATTATTACTGAGAGATCAAATAAAAATATTTATAGAATCAATAATTATTAGATAATATTAATGTGAAATATATTAGAATATTAAATTTCGTAATAAAATAAGAAAAAAAAAGGAAACTATATTTATTGAAAGGAAAAGATGGTATGCATTTTCGTCGCAGTCTTTTTATAATTGTTACCAGAGACTAACAAACTAACAAAAGTTGACGTTCTCACGTTACGAATCGCATTATGAGCGTTCTTGTCGTTCTTGGTTTGTTAAAGTGACATAATCATTGTGTTGCATACAACGTCCGATTTTAATCTGGATTTTCTTATTTCAACGACAGAGAAAGTTTTAATGAACTTTTTTTTTATTTACTTCCTTGGTATTATTTGTCAAGTGTAACCTACATTTGTAATATTATCGATGATTATAATAAAAAAAAAAAAGTAAAAAACTTACTCATTTCACGATCGACTAATAATTACGATATTGGTCAATTGGAGTTTGATAAATGGATAAATAAAATAAACAAAGAAACAGGTAAAACAACAAATTGTCTTCTGTTGGTTTTAAATATTACGAACGCGTGCCTGTCGTGCAAATTTCACCACGTTGTAACGTTTGCGTGATGAATAGTAAAAAAAAAAATATTGTAGAAACGTGACGGGAGAGTTACGAACTTGTAAAAAGTATGGTAAAAATGAGAAAAAGAGAAAGATAATAACTTTCTATATGCTAAAAGCTTTTATTTTAAGTTTTTTTTTCTTTTTATAAAATTGTATAATATAATTTAATACAATAACAATAATAGTAATTTACTAATAATTTAAATTTACTAGTAATTTAAATTTAGAGAGAGATTATTATTTTTTGTGGTGTTGGAAAGAAATGAAAGAAATTTTGTTATTAAGATATTACATATTGTGTAAAATTAATAGAAATAAATTTAGATAAAGCAAAGATCAAACTTTCTAAATGCTACGAATTTTTTATTCCAAATTATTAGCAAAAGTATACAAATTAATTATCTAATAATTATCATTTTTGTGGAAGAAAAAAAAATTGGTAATGCTTTATTACAATTATATAAAAACAATAAAAATTGTTTATAAGACTATATAGATTATTATTAATATTACAAATTAATAAGGTCTGTTATTCATATTATATAAGAAATATTTTAATATAAATATTCAAGTATTAGATAAAAATGTTTTTAAAAAATTTCAAATAAAATAATGAAACATAAATTTAAAATTCTACATATTTTTATTTTAAATTGTTTACAAAACTGTACAGATTATTATTAATATTAATACTACAAATTTACAGTGACTATTATTTCTCTTCCGTTTGAGAAAGAAATAGAAAATACCTTATAAACTAAAAAAACACTCATTCTTCTTATATTATCATTTTTGTCGCCAGAACAATTTGGTTTTTAAACTCATATCATAAGAACTTAATGGACAGGGTGTCGTTAATGCAGGAATTAAAGAGTTTTGAACCGAATAATTCGATAAAGGTGCGACCCATGTTCCCTCGGAAGACGTAACACCTGATTCAACATCGAGCCTGCAAAAAAAAATTAATAAAATAATTTATTTAATGAATACAATAAATTATGGAATAAAATTTCTCAAAGAAAAATGATTATCAAAATTACATTTAATAAAAACTTGTTTAATTTTTCATGCATATCACATTAAACTTTATTAATCACAATCTAAACAATATTAACGAATAATAATATTTGCAAAAACATAAGCCATAAAAAAAATTAAAAAAACAAATCTATTATCGATAAACCTTTTATACGAAATATAAATTTAAAAACAAACAAACAATGATACTTATTTGATTTTATAAAAATTGTTGATATAAACTACAAAATAATTTAACATGTTATAATTAATTCTGATATATTCGGTAGAGAAAGATACTATTTATCCACCCTATAGTATACAGTATAAAAGATATTTACGTCTTGAGAAGAGGCGATGCATAAAGTACAAGGGGATTGATGGGTGGTGGTTTGAGAAGAACGACGTCAACACCCGAAGAATGTAATTCGCTCTTTAATGCAGCAGCAGCCCCTTCCACGGCTTTACGTGAAGCAGTGAATGCCACAAGGCCTGTTCCGGCTTTGCTAGCATAGCTTGTCTCGGAGTCACCCAAGAGAACGATACGACCTTGTGCAAGTAAATATTCATTATGTTAATACGTCTAGCATAAAAAATAACCTATACTTATACATAAACGAATAGATTTATCTTCGTTTCAAACGATACAATAATAAAAAAAAAATAGTAATAACGAATAAACGAATTGTATTCGTAATAAATAATAATAATAATAATAATAATAATAATAATAATAATAATAATAATATGTAGCAAAAAAAAGAAAGATTGGTAATTTTGTTAACGCAAATAAAAAAAAAAATAAAAATTCTTATAGACGAGTGACCTGAAATTAAAAAGTCTGATGTCGGGTAAGTAGGGTAAACTGTAATAACCTCTTTTAACGCGCAGAAGAGGGATAAACACCCTTGCCGTTCGAAGAGGTGCGACCAGATTGTGTCGCAGCATCGATTCCCACGCTGAACTGGTTTGCTTTTCTATAGAACCTGGTAACGCCAAGCCACCGGTGTGTATCACTGCCCACAGACCTGGATCATAGAAAGATTTAAAGCATTAATAAACTTCTAACTTCATCCTTCTTTCCTAACTGTTCCGATAAACAAAAAGTTATTATTATTTTTTATTTTATTTTATTTATACGTTTCTCTTCTTTTCTTTTCTTTTATTTTTGCACGAGAATTCTGTTTACTTTTTTTTCTTTTTTTTCTCTTCTATTTTTTCTCTCTCTCTCTCTCTCTCTCTCTCACTATTTTTCTCCTTCGAAATAACGTTCGGATATTCAAGTCGACAGATGTGAGTCTCGACTTCGTTAGTTACTAGGTTTCGTTTCATTTTTCTTTTTTTTTTCTTTTTTTATTATTTCTACTTCGAAGTTCAGGTCATTCGTTCGTTCGACTAATGAGGTACTCTTATCCTAAGCACCGAATCAAGATTGATAGGAGAACTTTTGTCTCTGTTTCTTTTTCTTTTTTTAACAAATAGTTTCATAATTAAGCAGATCAAACGTTTCGTAATGAAAATGTTTCTTTTATGAATGATGAATTAGAAAATAAGCATGTATTCTTTCGTCGACCTAAATAGAAATTATTACTGACGTTGCGTGTCCAGTTTCACTCCTGCTTCATTATAAATGTCATCTTAATTAAACATCGTTATCAATATTTCAAACGATTCGTCTCACTCATCGCGTAATTTTTAATTCTTTTTTTTTTTTAATTCAATTCAATAAACCACAGTTAATACTAACCATGAATTAATTTTAAAAAGAAAATAATTTTATATTTTAATTGTATTTACATCTACAAAATTAAGAAATAATTTATGTACAGAGAGTATACTGAAAAAATGTAGTCATCTTACTCGTCAACTGAGAAAATATTTTAATACAATAAATAGTTACTAAGTTGACAAATTGTTATTATTATCTATTTACTTATTTATAATTATGTTATATATATATATATATATGTATATATACAAATATTTGTCTACGCTTGAACTGTGAATACATTTTTTGTTTATTTGGTATACTCTATATATAAAAAACAATAAATCAGAGAAAATGCTTACCATCTTCTCCAGCTGGAAGTTTAGCTCTAACTGCATCCAAAGAAGCACGTAGACTATCTTCCCTAGTTGGATCCAACTCCAATGGCACGATTTGTCCTCGAACACGAACTTGAACCTTATCGTGATTCGAGTCACCGTTGTCCATTTCTTTTTCTCGTTCCTGTTCAACGGCTTTTAAAATTTTCATCGACGGTGAATTTTCCGATGGATTTGGTAGACCAGCAAATACCTATAATTTTCAGACAAAAATTTATTTCATTAAATCTCTTCTCTTTAATCGATCAAATTGAAATACGTATTATCGATCATTCTTAAACATTAGTAAACTATTAGAAAAGAACGGGCTGGAGAGAGGGTAAAAGCTTTCATAAAAGTACTTGAATGACGAACTTTCTTATTTCTCATCCCTTTAAACTTCACCCAACGTCCTAAAATTCGGACTAAGTTTGTACTAGTTCGAAAGGTCTAAATTCTAACGTTCTCACCCAAAGCTCGAGGACAATTACTTGTAACTTTGGGAACGTAGAAGGCAAGCGTTAATTATGCTTGGAATCGTACATTCGTGCTTTCTCACCTTGAATTTATCCTCCTTAATCGTTGAGATATATTACAAGGAATTCGTAGACTCTGGTAATCATAAATCAAATTCAATATGGTGATTTGAAGATCTACGAAGTATTTCATTGAAATGGGAAACACAGTGATTATGTATTTATATAAGCTAAAGACTAAAAGTTTGGTATTTTATGTATATTCAAAGAAACAAGATATTTATAAGAATAAATAAATTTCTTTTAAGTAATCAAAGTATTACTCAAAAAGACCGAAGTATTTTTTTTTCTTTTTTCTATTAAATATTATTTTAGTCAACAAGCAATAAGTATGTTCTTCAAACTTTACTTTTATATAACAAATCTGTCTTTATTTTTGATAACAACTTGACATATGAATAAAATCTAACATCAAAAAATATTTTTTTTAATACAAACTCGTACCTAGTTCTTCAGGTGTTTCCAGTTTAATATTTTTTTATGCTTTATATAGATGTTCCCAAAGATATCCTAGTAAAAAAGTTTATTCCAAACATTACCCTAAATTAAGTGTATAAAATCTGCAAAAGTATTATTGGACTTAAGAATATGGTCAAATTTTTTAAAACATAATTTAACTTTTTAACATTTGCTGTAATAACGACAGATTATTTCCAAAGTTTAATAATATGTTTAATTTATATGGAATCCAGTAAATGACTCAAAATTTTCGGTTAGTTGTGTATTTTTAATAAATAGAAAATGAAATTAATTTACTCGTAAAAAAGGGGGAAAGGTTAAAAATAAATCGCTATCATTTGTTAGCTTTTCGTAATATACTGAAATTAATTGGATTGAAGAGATAGGGTAAAGAGAGTTGAAATATTCACGGTCACAAAGCTAACGAGAAGATACATTGGATTACACGAGATTAGGGATACTTAATTTAATTTTAATTAACATCTAACGGATTTCTTCTTAAAGATTAAATTTAATTATTGTAAGATACAAATTTCGACATTAACAAATTGAATGACATTTATTTTTGGAATTCACACAAACCAATATTACTATTATATCTTTCACTTTTTATTCTGTTTATAAAGTAAATAGTATTTTCATACAAGAAATGATGCGCACAGAAAAATAAGTCAAACTTAATCGATAAAATTACGTGTACATTCGTTAGAAGTTATAATACATATCTATGTATATGTATATATATGTATATATATATACACACATCTGCCACGCAGATTCCAACTGATAGTTAAAGTTAGGCTATTTTGCATGTATTTTACTTGGAAACTCACGTTACTCGTGCACGATTCTCTCTTATTCAGACTCGTTCGACTTCGATCAACTTGCTTCGAGTTCAATTATCCTACACGATTCTCTAATTATTCAATATATTCCATCTGATGCGTAATACCTATAATTATCTCGCGCGTTAAGAGATTGAAATTATGTAACAAGTAGGAAAGTTGAAGTTTTTATCAATTTCATTATTCAATATTGCTCCTATACATATAATAATAATTATAATATATCGAAACTAAAAGATTTTAGAATAGAATTTGGCTAATGTATTCGCATAATTAAATGAAAAAGTAAAAGAAAGCACCGATCCGATGTTTAATAAAAATTTAGAAAACATTTTCAATGAAAAATATTGATGGATAAAATATTTAAAAATATTTATTTATAAATTAGTATAATAAACTTTTTACGAGATATCTGATTATTGGTATTGTGCATCGTGTGTTCGAAAAGTTAATTAACAATTAAAGGGAAGAATTTATTATTATAAAAAAGAAATATAAATAAGCCCGAAATTTTCAGACAATACGCGGATATCACGATTTTGATTTAAAGTTAATATGATTTACATCGAATGCAAGAGAATATGGAAGAGTATTATTACCTTGTAACCAGCTTCAGAAAGTGCAAGGGCAATCTGTAGACCCACGCACGTATCGCAGTTGGTTACGAGTACGTGACATTTGTTTCGCAACTCGTATTCGTCTGTAGCATTTCGCGATTGTCGCATCAGATATGCGAGTAGGGCGGCAGCTATTGAGCAAAGGGCTAAAATCTGTAGGGCTAAAATAGCCCCCGTCTCTACGTCCATTTTTCAATCTGAAAAAAAACAAGAGAAAAATAATTTAAAATAAAAAAAAAAACAAATTCTTTTAACATTTAATTTTGATTTTATTTTTGTTCCTACAAAATTAATTCTTACAAATATTATTTATGTTAAGCAAATATTATATTATTACTAAGATATTCTCTAAAACACATACACACGCACGCACGAGCGTTTATTTAAATAGTATAACCTATAAAAAATTATTAAAAATTATAAGAAATGTTCAATCTAGTATCTTAGAACCATAATTCGCATAAACGTTACTATAATAAATATTACAAATAAAAATGACTGACAAATTAATCCTATTTTGTTTAAGGAATCGTTCAACTTTTGATATCCGTAAATATCCAAGGAAACACAATTTATCCATCATTGCCATACATAAAAAATAATCTAACAAAATGAATCGTTTAAAGAAATTGAGCCGAGTCTTTCGATAAAGTTGATCCTCGAATTTCCAGGCTGGTGTGCCTCTTGCGCTTCAACGATGCGAAACGCCTCGAGAAATGCGACTAGGAATTCGTTTTCTCGTGTGAAAAGTGAACGGGAGAGTAAACCGTCCTTTCTAAAATCGTATCTTTCTGAGCATAACGAGACTCAACCGATCGTCACTACGTTCAAGCCGATCTTCCTTCGTCCATAGGATTTGTGTACCCTTTTCTACATATATTTTCATCGAAAAAGGATGATAGATACGCATTTCAAAAATAGTCAAAGAAAAAAATCGATAAAGAGGAAAGATAGAAAGGATTGTTACCTGTAAAAATACGAACTAAAATCACGACGGTCGAACGATTTCATAAATTTTCGAATTTTGTTATCGTTAATGTGCTGAATTGATTAGTCTCCAAGGACATTCTTGGTAAGAATAGAAAAAGGTTCTTCGTTTTTCTCTCCTATACCTTCTCAAATTCGGCAATGGAATTTTGATTCTTGAAGAAAAGTAAAAGAGAAAAAAAGAAAAGTAGAAAAAGTTAAAACTTCCGCGAATAAATGATAGACTATTTTATTCATTGTGAACACATTTTCTCTCGATCTATTGTTATTTATTTTCAAATAATCATTTACGTGTAATTTATTTCTTCTTGTCGATAATTTTATTCTTATTGGTATTCTTCTATTGATCTTCAAAAATAGAAAATAAATGATAAATAAAAGAATAGAAAATCGGATGGGAATCGGCTGATTTTCTATAAACACTCTTGTGCTTTCTCTTGTACGCGATAACATCGCGAATCGTTTTGCCCAGCGAAACGTACCGAATGCATCGGGCGTTGACGTGCTTCGAGATTATCGAATTTGCGAAATATCTTCGGTTTCCGGTACATCGATCACGAGGGATACCGATGTGGAAAAGCGAGAAACAATTTTCTTTCGTGTCTTCAAAAGCATTTGCTCGTTCCAATTTAAAAGATTACTTTTTCTTCTCAGTTTTACTTAACAGTTTTTCATTACAATCAACTATCAAGATAAATATCTACGGCTTTAGTTTATAATTATATTTATTACTTTCATAATATATCATCTCTATTCTATCTTGATTATCCTTTAAAATAGAAATATATATTTTTTATTGGGTTTTCTTACTTTTTTTTATTGCCAAGAAAACTTTCTATTTTCATTTTTTCATTATATTTATTCTTAAGTATTAATTCGTTTGAAAATATATTAGTTTATACTATTGGGGCATTTCACGTGAAGCGGACAACGAAAAAAATGTGAGGTCGTGGATTTTGTTCATAATTAGCTTAATTGTACTTCTATGGGACCTCAATAATCGTACATAATTATTTTTTTTTTTTTACCTTAGTTACCAATTTATGGGGCTTCAAAGAATTGACAAAACATGAGGAATAGATTTTTCAAATACTATTAAAAGAGTCAATCTAATGAATTATATAAGAAATAAATTGTGTTTATTAGAGAATATAAATTAATTTTCTTGGAAGAAAATAAAAATTTGAAATTGAACTTTTTTTTTGTCTAGTAAACCGGAAGTTAAAATTAAAAATGTGAATTTATTAAACTTCGCATATTTCTATTTTTTTTTATTTTTACCTTAAAATATATCTTATAGTGTAGAAATATTATGCAAAAAAAATTATAATAGTATCTCGATTCGTTTAGAAGATATGAACTAAATAGTACGAAGGTTCCGTAAGGCATGCTTTACTGAGCGGTTTCTAAGTGTATAATTCATTAGTTACAATAGTAACCTGTAAGTGGCGAGTGAGCCAACAGCCCTGAGGAACCGCTCAGTAGAGCGCGCCATACGGAACATTCGTACTGTTTAGTTCATATCTTCTAAACGAATCGAGATACCATTATAATTTTTTTTGCCTAATATTTCTACACTACTAGCTATTTTTTAAGGTAAAAATAAAAAAAATTAAAAATATGCGAAGTTTAATAAATTCACATTTTTAATTTTAACTTCCGGTTTACTAGACGAAAAAAAGTTCAATTTCAAATTTTTATTTATTTCCAAGAAAATTAATTTATATTCTCTAATAAACACGATTTATTTTTTATATAATCCATTAGATTGACTCTTTTAATAGTATTCGACAAATCTATTCCTCATGTTTTGTCAATTCTTTGAAGCCCCATAAATTGGTAACTAATTATTGAGGTCCCATAGAAGTACAATCAAGCTAATTATGAACAAAATCCACGACCTCACATTTTTTTCGTTGTCCGCTTCACGTGAAATGCCCCTATTGTTACTAGTACAAGAGAAAGCTTTATTTTTACATAAAAAGAAATTTTCTTGTGTGTTTTTTGTTCTTTTTCAAAATGTCCAATACAATATAGATTATATGTCGAAGATAATTATACTCGGTATAACTATAATATCATCAGTGATGTCCCTTCTTTCAAGATCAATGATTAATAACGCGTCAAGGTAACAGTCTGATAATAGCAGACGATGTTAATTGACAGTGAGAAATTTAATAGGTTATTATCCAAGTATATATATACCCGTTGATATGCTAGTTATTAATATCGATGAGAAATTGTAACCGATAGATCGAAAGTCTCGAAAATGATCGACGATCCATAAATGACAACGGGAACGAGTCCGGTAAGTATCCGTCGTGAAAGTAAAAGTCTTATGAGTCAGTTCGGTGAAATTATTTTTTGTTAAATAAAAAAATAAGGAAGAACATCTGTCATAAAAAAAAAAAATAAAAACGAAACGATACTCCGATTTAATATTAAAATAAATTTTGTAATCAACTTTTTACAAGATTATTTTTCAAATAAGATGAACGGAAAACGTTGTTTAATAACTAGAATAATTACCATATAATGTTTAATAAATAATATACAATAAATAAATTGGAAATTATATCGTTGAAATGAATTTATGATATATAAATATATAACAATTTTCGTATAACATTGAAATAAAATTATAATCAATTTTGAGAAAACTTATTTTCTAAAGAACATTTTCTAGATAAAATATTGTGTTTTGATAATTAGAATAATTACGATATAATATATTATAGTAAATAATTAAATCTTGTTATTAGTAATTTTTCAATAAATTATTGTACACAACAGATAATAAATAAATAAATTTAAATAATATTGTTGAAATGAAATTAAAGGTATCGAAATGTCATAGGTTTAGTAATAGAACACGTTACAAATGGTCTTTTTGCAGTAGGAAAACCGACACGAATAACGCGTTACCAGTATTAATACGTTTCACTGGACACACCTGTAAACGAGATATCGTCGTGGTATTCGAGTACAAACGAAACCGCCCTTGTGTGCACCTGCCATCAAACCTGTGCATGAGGAGTCGGACGCACACGACTACTCGCTTCGATGGCCACGACTAACTTTCTCTGGAATGTTGTTGCATCCGAAAAGAAACCAATACGATATCTGATTCGAATCGATATCTTCTTTTTTTTTTCTTCTTTATTCATTCCTTATACTTTCTTCCTTTCGATCTTCTCTTTCATTTGACAGCACACCCATCAATAATTTCACTTCGATTTTATCAATAATTTTGAATTACGTAATCGAGGAAAAGTTTTGTTCATTTTTATTCCAAATATTAAATGTTACAAGAATTCATTCGAATAATTAATAAAAAGTTATATTTTATTTACATAAAATAATTGAAGCCATTCATTGAAATATTAAATTAATTTTTGTACAATTATTTATATTAAGTTTAGACTTCAGAATATTAAGGTAGATCTCAAACATAATAATTATTCTATTCTTATCTTTAAAATCATGATTTTATAATCAAGTTCCGAGTAGGTTTGGCTAGATTACATAATTTAAGTAATTAATAATATGTTGTAATTATTAAGTCTACCAAAAAGTTAGTTTCATTTAACTTTCATGTTACTGTAATTCTAGTAAAAGTATTATATATTAATAATTAGTTTAGACACGTAATTATAATCGTATTACCCATATCTTAAAATTTGTTCAAAACTCATTTATTTATAAGTTTAGAAAATATTGAAATAAACCAACAAAAAGAAACAAACAAGAAATTCGAATAGATAAGAGTTATAAAAATAGAAATAATGTTTCAAGGCAAACGAGAGATAAGAATAAATGATTAGGTGAAATAGAATTTATGACATCTCTCTATTAATCATTGGTAACCTGTATAACTATAGAAGAGTAAGTATTATACTACTATAGAATCGATCATCGAACGACATTATGCGTATTGTAGGCGTGTGACGAAGTGGCTTCCTTTCCTATTCAACGAAGTGTACTTCCAGTCTCCATGCATACGGAATCGCTAAAGTTTATTCACCCGTGCCAATTTCGAAAGGTATAGGTATATTACAGTAGTGAGTTTTAGTGGGCGTTTCGATTCGTTCAAAGGATTGCACATTGACGACCTTACTTAGACAACTGTTCGTTTATAGTTAAACGAATTTCTTCGTTTAGTTCGAAAGGATAAATTAACTGTTACTCGTTTAATATAACTTTTACGTTAAGTAGAACTTGCGTAGTATATGAATTATTGTATTAGAAAATTTATGTCACTCGTTCGTGTGTTCATTGAACTTTAAACAATTTTTTTAATTTAAAAATGAAAATAAGTATCGTTAAATAATTTGTTAGAATTTCAATTTTCTTAGTTTATATTAACAAATTTATGAAACTCCATTTGTTATTAGATTTTATTCCTTTCTATAAATCTTAAGATTATTTAAAATTTATTATTATATTTAATTGCTAAGTAATATTTGTTATTATTAAAATTTAAAAGCAATTGAAAGCATAAATACTTACAAAATTCCCCTATATAAATTTTCTCAATGTTTCTAACATTAAATTTATTTAAGTTTGTTAATCCAATTAAAAATTTCTTTAATAAGTTTGCTGTTTTAACAACTGCTTATTTATTGCAAGTAAACCTTGCGCTATTTAAGTTATTAAGAAAATAAAGCTCATTTGTATTGTGCATTAATTCAAAATTATAAAAAACCAAGGAAAACATTTAAATCATTTTTATATATTTTAATGAACGGCCTCTCTTTTTTTCTTTAACCATAAAATTATCTAAATTTATTATGACATTTATTTTAAAATTTCCATTTGCTTTTGTTCAAATTTGAATGCATTTTAATCATAATTTCTGTAGAAGCATGAAACGGAAGGCTTCAAAAAGAAAAGGCGCATTTTCTCTCTCTCTCTCTCTCTCTCTCTCTTTCTTTCTTTCCCTCTCTCAACGTCATGTACATCAAATTCATTTACTTCTGTAATATCGTACAAAACATTTCAACGTTTATTAAATATAAAATTATAACAAAACAAATATAATCCTAATTGCTTTAAGACGAAATAAATAATTCTAACGTTAACAAACATAAATAAAAACTTTGCCGTATGTCTTCAAAATAACAAAAAATAAAAAAGATAAAACAAATCAATTTCATTTGATTCCTGTCATAGTTAGAATAAAATAATGAGAACTAGTTTAGTATAACGTATCATAATTTAAGTCACAAATAACCACGATCATTTTAATGGAAAGTATATTTCTACGAGGTTTAGAAATGTTCTATTTCCGATTACTAACTCTCGTTAAACTTATCTAGAAAATTTGATATATGAAAAAGTACAGCGATGGCAGGATGAGTAGGAGGAAGAGGACGGGGAGATGAATTTCGTAGAAATTGTATAATATTTAGAAAATATTCCAAGCACAAGTGGACGAACGAGTGTTCCTTTCACGAAATATACGTATATTTTATCATTCGTCGAATAGACGTTTACGAAGCAAAGAGCAAATGTTATTAAAGAGCATTACAGTCGCAAATATTGAGCGTGCAAGAAAACCATGGTAGAGGAAGAAAACGAGCAAGTGTAAGCATTTAAATTACATTACGCTGAATTACCTCGGTCTAGTCTAACATATTCCGGCATTAAATTAACGGACTTCTTTTTCAATTCCGTGATAAAGTAAATGCACACGGAAATGGGATAGGAGGTAGTTTTTAAAACAAGAGTTACGTTGATCAACCACGCGTTTCTTTTTGGCAAGTTATCGTAAAAACTTGCCTTTCTAATTTCAAAGTCTCGTAGTTGGTATCTGACTAATTACTCTGAACTTTTCTAAACATACAGTATTTCCATTTGATGAAGAGATTAATCCTTTACCATTTTTTCTTTTATCTTAACACACACATAAAGACTGGTTAAGAAAAATATATGTGAAAATTTGACATGACTTCTTTTTTTTATAAAGAATCAATGTCCAGGATAATAGTAGTATGATTTTTAATTCAATTGGAAAACATCGATATATCTGGTCGACTATGAAATTTTATTGCTAATTATTTTACAATGATAGTAAAAATAATCAAATTAAATGAATCTTTAACGTAGAGGAAAATGTATATTATCAGAATAAATAGAAATTGTTTGATAAATGTTAAGATAAATATTAGAATAGCATGTTTTTTCAATGCGATAAGATATACAATTTAATCTTCCAAAAAATACAACAATTATAAATTAATAAATTTTATTTAACAAAAAGTAAAGATAAACGACAAAACTGAGATTAGAGAATTGAAAATTGTACTAAATACAATAATAAAATACATCTTGAGTATATTAAATATTATAATAATTATTATATATGATATTATTTAATTTGTATATAAAAAAAAAAAATATTATTTGAAAATATTATAGTAAAGCATGACGTAATTACGATGCCCTCAACAGAAAAAGCATCGTTTTCCCATAACGCATTTTTTCTTTAACAACCGTACAGAAGATAAAACTAAAGAAGTACAAACACAACGTCATAACTAAGAATCATCGGCAGGAATGTATAAAAGTTGCTGTATTCTGCCGTGAACGTTACGGTACCGTTGGCTGTTTTTGACCGCGAGTGACCGCGTGTGTAAAAGGTAAACAGTGCTCAATCGAGGTATGTCGGCAAGATTATTTGCATTATGGTTTGGTCATTCGAAAACAAGACCCAACAGGTAGCTTTCACAATACTTTAAACAGTTATACTTATTTTTTTTTCTTTTCTTTTCTTTTCTTTTTTATTCTTAATTTATTTACATTAGACGCCGCGTGCATTACAGAAAAACACAATCAAATAAGTATATGTATACCTTGATACATAAATGCTTGTCACTTTCGCGTATTATATTAACTCACGCGTGTTACTAGATCTCTTAAAATATAATCTACATTTATCTGAAGAAGGTTGCTTCTCAAAGATGTTAAAAAATTCTTTCAACTTGAAAATCGCTCGTAGGAGGCAGGCGTTCGACCTACTTGCTCATCGAGACGCGATCTTTATCATTTGAAATCCCTCGGCATAGCGAAGAAAGTTCCAATCCTGATCGAAAACGACTCTGATCATAGTGAAGTACTAAAGATAAATGAGTTAAGAAAAAAGAAAAGAAAAGAAAAAAAAAAACAGAAAAAAATGATATAAAAATCAAGGCAGATCGAACGAGAAATGTCAGGACGGTAAAAGTGGTCCGTTACGTTGAGAACTTGATTTTATCGAAATTATGCAATCATTGCCGTTTAACCGGCAACTAATTTATCTTTTGCAGAGTCACAGTTACTATTCAAAGATTCGAAATGGTGACAATATTGGTTTACTGTTTAATTGTTTAAAAAACTAGAAAATAATTTGAACAAATTTTTGTTATTCATTGTCAAATATCGTTGACGAAAAACTAAACGTACGATTAAACAAAAATATACTTTTTCTTTTATTATTCTTGGAAGCATGAAAAAATAAAAGAAAATAATAAAGGAGTTGGATGAATGGAAGATAATTTTTGCATGACTAGTCGTAGGTATTTAAAAATCGTTCAAATGAACGGACTAGAATCGTTCCTGTTTTATTCGCAATCTAAATGGCAGGAAAATTTGGAGAACGCGTGAGTTCATAGTTCGGTATGCTCAGTCGCGTTCATTTACATGAACGATTCCTTTGTCTCGATTTCTTGCCAAGAGAACTTTGCTTATTTCCACTTGAAAACCTTCGATTATTTCTATTGGCGAAACGCGACCAAGTATGCGACAAAATACGAGTACGTTCTCGCGAAGATTTTACAGATCGATTAAGAGATCGATTATTTTCTTGTCTTTCTCTTTCTTTCTCTCTTTCTCTTTGAACAACTAGTAATTTTATTTTCTTAGAAACAGTGGAATTTAAGTGAAAGTGCCCACCAACCTAGAAACTTTCCTATTTTTATTCCACTATTATTTGTCCCTTCAAACGTCAGAATTTATGAGATCCAAATTTTCTATACTGTCACATTTTTTGTCATTAATGTTATTGCAGGATAGATGATGTTTTTTCTTTTAAATAATTCGTGCTCTAATTAACAAATATTAATTTAAAAAACATTCATTGAATCACCAAGGAACGCATCTTGGATTTATTGAAAGTATAACCGGGCAAATGAATTTACTTTTTTTTTCTTTAGATTAATTTGTGCTCTAATTGTTAAGCAATAATTTATACCATTTGGTGAATCATCAGTATTTTATAACTTATTTTTGTATTCGTTAAAAAACCATTAATCAGTATTCGTTTACGGCGATTCAGGAAAGTTAGTCTTTTTGAATTTGTGTGTATTGTTTTAAACGCGTCGTAAATCAATTGTACGCATCTACGTCGCGTTATCACCGTAACCGCGTCAGGCATCGTTACACGCGACAAACAAGCTTTGTACTTTCGGTTCCAGTTTACGATTCTTTCACGATACGATCCTCACTACGTGATAAACGCATATTTCCGCGAATAACAGTCCAACGAATTCCTGTATTTTCTTTCGAAATAATTATATTCTCATAGTAATAACCAATTTTATATATCTATAAAAACAAAAAGAAAAAAAGGATATTGTAAAAAAAGAAGCATAAATACATGAACAAATCGAGTTGATATAAAGTCTCACGTAAAAATTCCATTGCGTTTAAGAGTACCCACATACATAGTTAATAACGCAACCTAATCTAACGAGACGATTATGCGTTCCACTTACTATACGTTACACCACAAATATACCGCATAACGTATACACTCTATTCTTACCAAGAACGAAAGATCATATGAACACGAATTTTGTCATATTATCGAACAAAACACCTCTACATTTAAAAAAGACAAGATAATCTCATACCTATTACTACATTCCACTCTATTACGTTACATGACAAGTATACCGCATAACCCAAAAACTTGACTCATACCAGAAATAATTATAAGAATACAAAAGTATCCTTATATTATATTTATAAATAAAACATTCATCCTGAAAAAAAAAGATAAAATCAATAATATTTGACTTACCTGTTTGTAGAAGAAGCTGATCGAAGACCAAATAATAAAAAATAAATACAAAAAGAAGAAGAAAAAAAAAAGACGTTGAATAATATAAATAGTGTTTAAAAAAATGTGAGACGCAGAAGAAACTCAGTTATTTTAAAAGAATAGTTATGATTTACAATGTGAGCGGCGAGCCGCAGCGGGCCGCGTGCGCGCGTTTACCTGCTGCACAACCGGCTTTAGAGAATTCCCGATTGGAATGACCACGAGGAGGAACGGCGCGAACGGAGTAGACAGACCTCTTGGAGGTTTGCGTGTTTGCCTCGAGTCGAGTTGAGCTAACCCGGCCCGGAAAAACATTCCGCGGCATCTTCGCACTCGCTGCCACTCGAGCCTCCACTAGTCACGTGGCTTGACTACGCCCAGATTGCTTCTCTCGTTTCTCTTTAGCAACTTTCAACAAAGATTCTTCCTTTCTTTCTTTCCCTCTCTTATTTAAAAACCCCCACCCACCCTTCTCACCCCGGTACCGGTCCTCCTCCTCTCTTCCTTCTCCCCCACCTCTTCTATTTCTCTCTCTTTCTTTCTATTTGTCTTTCCATTTTATTCGTTCGATTAGATTTCTTTTAAATCAGTTGTTAATCTTTTCGCTCCGTTAGCAATTTCTTTTCTGTTGAGTCAAGTACAGAAGAAAGAAAAAAGAAAGAAAAAAAGATTACAACGTTGCGTTTGATTTTAATGATATTTACATACGAATGTCTTTTTTTATTTTTCGTATTTTAATACGCTTAGAAATTATTCGATTATTAATCGCTTTATACTTTTAACGATCGGTGGATTATGCAATGTTCAATAAAATATTATGTTCGTTAAGCTAATGAAAATTCTAAAGCTTATTTCTTTAGTTAAGCTTTTAACTCCTCGCAGGAACTGCAGATTTCAACTTTGTTTTTTCTCTCTCTATTTAAAAATTATTACGTGATCTTTTGTGACAATGTTATAGCAATCTTCTTTATTCCCACAACGAGTTATGAAATGGTTTATTGAATAGATCGGTTCTTCATCTTTTAACAATAGTTTATGCAAAAGTATATGTAGGATTTTCTTAAGAACACAGAACGCACTTGTAAATCAATTCCAATAATAATGAATAGGTCTTATAAAAATTTAATATTTTTATTTTTTATTTAGTTCAATTAATCGATTCACTTGGCTAATCACCAAGGATTCGACGTAACTAATCGTAGTTTTCAATGACCTACTAACTCGCCTTTGCGAATTATTATTTCTTTTTTTTTTGACCTTGTCACAGTAGTTAGAGACTATCCTATGCTTAAACGGAGATGGAAACGGAAATGACTAGTGCAAGCCATTTTAACTGATTCTTCATGAGTTTTAATCTGACAGCCAACTAAATTTCCGTACTATTTGAAATTTCAGGAAATCTAAAGTTCGCAAATATATTTATTCATACGACAGATGTTTGAAGTATCCAACTTGCAGACAGATTACGTCAGATTAATATAATAGAATATTTCGTTAGTCTTATAAAAGAAATACTTTAAAATGTATTTGCATATTTATTTTAAAATACATTTGACCCAAATTTGTGTGTCTATTCTTTTATATTATAGAACTCTTTATATGTATGTGTGTGTGTGTGTGTGCATATATTGTGGTGTATATATGCAATCTCGGTAACAAACTGGACTATAAAATTTTAATCACGACTAACCCCTTTCAATACTGTGTCATTGTGAGTACTACTATATACAGAAAGAAAATATTTGATTCGTGCGGGAGTTGCATATTAAAGCGTCGAATAAGTTCACTCGTGGAATTCATACTAACGAGCGTAACCACCTTACCTATATGTTCCCTATAAGTCTGTAAAAGTAAACTACGCGTTAGTTAAAAACGTCCTTCAAAAAAATCCTCAATTAAATTTTTCAAACAGCAATCCTTAATAATATTCTGCAATTTTTATAATTACAAAAATTCCACTTTTCTTTTTAATAAATCTTATTTATTCGATTCCTTTTAAATAAATTTAGTATTTATTTATGAAGTAATTATAGGTGTGTTATTCTTTAAAATAGTCTCCATTATTTTTAATGACTTTAATTCATTTTTTAAGCAACTTCTGAATTTTGAAACAATAGATAACGATTTTGATGCAATGAATTCAGTATTAAGACAACAAATTAATTGTCAAACCTCACAATTGAATTTATTACACCAAATTAAAGATTAGAAATATTTTTTATTTAGTTATAAAATTGTTGAGTCCATAAATTCTTAATGATTTATTTTCTTACACACGTAAATACGTAAAAGAGCGTTTAAATATTCGCGCGCTTTGAATTTTGTGAACTAATGGCAGCACCATCGGTTTTCGGCACTAACGCCACCATAGCAAGCATAGCAGCATCAAATCAACAGACTCGTTCATTTCCTTTTTGGGCATCAAGGTGAGAAGAACTGTTTCCATTTTTATTTGTATTCTTGAATCAATATCAATGATATTTTTACCGTTACGACAAAAATTCAATAGAAAATTGAAAGAAATATATCTTATTTTTTCGTTGTTCTATAAATTTCATCATTGGTTTGATAAATTTAGTGAAAATGACTGAATTACAATCTGAATCGGAAATTTTATTAGGCCACGTGGCCAAACGTCTCACGAAAGAAGAAATCGAACGAATAAAAGCACAGAATTCACGATTAGTTTCCGAGTTTCGTGCTAATCAATTAGAAAAAGATGCTAAAAAACATTGGGATCTATTTTACAAAAGAAATAACACGAAATTTTTCAAAGATCGTCATTGGACGACCCGAGAATTCGACGAATTGTTGGGCTTGGGTTCGGATGAGAATAAAAATGTCCTTTTCGAGATAGGTTGTGGGGTTGGTAATTTGATTTATCCTTTATTAGAAGATGGACTGAAATTTAGAAAAATATTCGCATGTGATTTATCATCAAAAGCTGTTGAACTAACAAAGGTAGAATTTTTTAATTAAATACATTTCTTTAAATTGTATCTTTATTTTAATTGTTTTTCATTTTCATGAGATTTTGTCTGTATTTCTTTCTTTTCACAGAATCACGTGTTGTATGATATTGAAAAAATTAAAGTATTTCAAACAGATATTACAACAGATGATTGTTTTGCCGAAGTTGATTGTTCAGTTAACTTAGCTACATTGATTTTTGTACTCTGTGCTGTACATCCACAAAAGTTTAAAATGTAAGCTTCTTGATATTCAAATCTTATATTACTAATTATTATTTCTTTACATTATTTTTATCTTTTATAGGGTTGCACAGAATATTTATAATGTACTTGAGATCGGTGGAGTTTTACTTTTTAGAGATTATGGTTTATACGATATGGCACAACTGCGTTTCAAACCTGGTCATAAAATTGCTGACAATTTTTATATGCGTCAAGATGGAACTAGGTAAAGTAGTTTTATAAAATAACATTATTTTAAACAATATACTCAATAATTCAGTTTTTACAATATTATTTGGTTACAGATCCTATTATTTTTCTATCGAAGAAGTGACCGAACTCTTTCAATCTGCTGGTTTCCAAGTATCAACGTGTGAATATATTCAAAGACGCACTGTAAATTTTAAAGATAATATTGATGTACCAAGAATTTTTGTACAAGCTAAATTGAAAAAAGTTTAAATAGCTGAGACTCCAAGGTATTGCATGATGATTTTAGTAGAGTAAATGTTTATTTATAAAATGTTACATTCTCTTTATGATGATTCCATAGTTCAACTGAAACTAATGAAGATTTTATCTTTCGCCCCTATCTGATTTTAAATTAATTTATTTTGTATAAAGAAATTGTTTTATCAAAGCTATGTGTTAATATGAAATATTTTATTGCAGGATCTATCAATGATATACTTTACTTAAAATTTACTTTAATCCTTTCACATTATGAACATGGGATACATATGGCATGTAACATGAATTTTTATATCAGAGATCCATTTCGTGATAGCACTCTGGTTAAACGGATAGCTCTAGTGAAAGGTTTAAATATTTTTTGTAAGTTCTATTTCTTTTTTATATATTAAATAATATTTGTATTGCTTATTATGTTTATGATGATCTCATAGTTCAACTGATTTTAATTGAAGACCAAAATTGTTGTTTTTCGCTCCTATCTGAAGTTATTCTTATGTTTAAATCTAA